CCTCAAACTCTTGGGCTCAAGTGATTCTCTTGCCTCAGCCTCCCAAGTAGCTGGGACTACAGGCACCCACCACAATGCTGGGCTATTTTTTGGTTGTAGTTGTAGTTGTCTGGCAGGCCTGGGCTTGATTCGAACCCACCATCTCCAGGGTATGTAGTTGGCGCCCCAGCCACTTGAGCTACAGGCACCCAGCTGGGAGAGGTATTTTTATTTTTTTGAGACAGTCTCACTCAGATGCTGTGAGTGCTGTGGCATCATAATTCATAGAAACCTCAAACTCTTTGACTCAAGTGATCCTCCTGCCTCAGCTTCCTGAGTAGCTGAGACTACAGGTGCGTGCCACAACTCCTGGCTAGTTTTATTTTTTAGTAGAGATCAGGTCTTCCTCTTGCTCAGGCTGGTCTTGACCTTCTGAGCTCAAGTGATCCACCCACCTCAGACTCTCAGAGTGCTAGGATTATAGGCAAGAGCCATCACACCTGGCCAGGGAGAAGTATCTTTTTTTTTTTGACAGTCTTACTTTGTCGCCCTCAGTAGAGTGCTGTAGCATCACAGCTCACAGCAACCTCTAGCTCTTGGGCTTAGGCGATTCTCTTGCCTCAGCCTCCACAGAGCAGCTGGGACTACAGGCACCTGCCACAACACCCGGCTATTTTTTGTTGCAGTTTGGCTGGGTCTAGGTTTGAACTCGCCACCCTTGGTATATGGGGCCGGCACTCTACTCACTGAGCCACAGGTGCCACCCAGGGAGAAGTATTTTTAAATAAATTAGGAAATCCTGAAGACATAGATTGAGGAGTTGACCTCATAAAAATTTTTGGTACATCAAAAAGACATAAACTTTGTTAAAATACAAACACTGGAAGGAATATTTGAAACACAAAACTATTGAATTAATATATTTAGTATATAAGGAACTGCTAAAAATCAAGAAAAAAATTAACTGCACAACTGGCAATTAAGAGTTGTGCGTTGCTTAACGCTGAGGGTATGTTGGGAGAAATCCATCTGAGACTATTTCATTCTTGTGTGAACATGAGTGTACTCAGACAAACCTAAGACGGTATAGCTTACTCCACACCTAGACTCTATATTGAGATATATATATACACATATACATCTATACATACATACATACATACAACTGTACAATGTATTACTACACTAAATACTATAATATAGTATTTAGTAATTAAGTAAAACAGGAAAGCTACAGTAAAAATACAAGATTCTAATTTTATGGGACCATCATGTATATGGTCCATTATTGACTAAATTGTTAGGCAGCACTGACTATAATTTATAGATGAGGAAATGACAATAGTTGTTGAACACAAAAAGAACACTCTACAAAAATATCAAACATGCAAATTTAAACAAGATGCCATCAGATTGGCTAAAAACTAGTAAGATCAATATTGTTAACTTATCTACTAGTGAGGATATGAACTAATCATCTATTGATGGAAGAGTAATAAATCAGTGCATGGGTGATTTCACTAGTGACGTCTAATAAGCCACCTGTATCTACTGTCACTATACCTAAGAATGCTCACATTAACAGCCAGATACTACCAACAGCCTAAGTACTCATACCCTGCAACTAGTTAAGTAGGAAACCTGCCATAGAATAGCCTAAGTCCCTATTAAAAATAGGTGAAACATAATATGACACTAAACACAAGGCCATGTATTGTCTTACATTCTTCTATTTCATCCTTCCAGCAGCCCCTGAAGAATGGTGGTTTTATAGATGAGGAAACTGAGGCAGAGGTGAAGTACATTAATTTGTTCAAAATCAAAGAACTGATGGCAGATTCCAACCAAAATAATTTGGCTGGAATGGTTAGCAAGTATGCTAGAATAGAATATATATACATATATATTTAGGATAGATAAATCTTAATGTATTTATTGGGTAAGATGGCCCAAGATAATAGTTTGGTGATAAATTACAAACATGTTTTTGTTAAAAACAACAGTATTAAAACATATAAAACAGCATAAGCAGCGATAAATATACATTAGCCACACTACTTTGGGTTAGAGGGGGAAGAGATGGATGAGGTGGCTTTATTTCAGTAACATTTGACTTGTTACAAGCTTATTTTTCTTATATCAGAGGGTAGAAATGAACAGGGGAAAACTTTATTTTTTTTTTTCAGCCAAAAGTCTAGAATTCAGGAATTCCAGAACTTAAAAGAATGGTTTGACTCAGTCTATAATATACCTGTGACAGGACAAAGAGGGTAAGGAGTGAGGGGGAGAGGCAGAGACAGATTGCTACATGCACTGCTTGCAGGTTTTGAAGATGGAAGGAGCCAAAGAACGAAGACCGTTCCCAGAAATGGAAAGAGACAAGGAAATGGATTCTGCCATCAAAACCCAAGGAACCACCGAGTCCTCCACTTGAGCGCTGTGTGACTGATTTTACACTTCTGGCCTCCAGAACTGGTAGGAAAATACATTTGTGCTGTTTTAAGCCATTAAATTTGCAGTTGTCATAGCACCAACAGGAAATTAATATAACACCTGAGATAATCAAAGTAATCACATGGGGGTGGCGCCTATGGCTCAAAGGAGTAAGGGTGCTGGCCCTATATGCCAGAGGTGGCAGGTTCAAACCCAGCCCCGGCCAAAAAAAAATTGCAAAAAAAAAAAAAAAAGTAATCAATGGATATTATGTCCAGAAATACCCTTACTAAAATTTAATGTAGGGCTGTCAACTGCTGATACAAAGTTTTCTACCATCTGTGAACCCACTGTTGAGCAGTGGCTGGTTTATAAGGATACTTTATAAACAGCACAGATAAGATTTCTTTTGCTGTATAGATTTTGGAAATGTTTCTATCAACAAAATCAGCCTACCAGAATATGTACGCTTTTGAGAGGACAGTTAAACCAGAAAAGTACCAAAAATTCACTTTATTGAGGTATATTTTCCCTTAAGGATCAAATGAAACTAATTTGTATTTCCCCACTAGAAATATTTCTGTGGCAATATTCTAGTTTAAAATTTATAAGCTCAAAGGATCTAGGCTAAGCACTCTTAATACCTCAGTGGTCTGATCCAATTTTTTTTTTTGAGACAAAAGTGAGAGTCTCTTTGTTGCCCTTGGTAGAGTGCCATGACATTATAGCTCACAGCGAACTCTTGGGCTCAAGTGGTTCTCTTGCCTTAGCCTCCTAAGTAGCTAGACCTACAGGCACCCGCCACAACATGCCTGGCTATTTTTAGAGATGAGGTCTTGCTCTGGCTCAGGCTGGTCTTGAACCTATGAACTCAGGTAATCTACTGCCTTGACCTCCCAAGTGCTTGGCTTATAGGTATGAGCTACCCTGCCTGGCCTTTTTTTTTTTTTTTTTGAGAGAGTGTTTCAGTATGTCACCCTTGGTAGAGTGTTACGGTGTCAAAGTGCACAGCAACCTCAAACTCTTGGGCTCAAGTTATTTTTTCCTCAGCCTCCCAAGTAGTTGGGACCACAGATGCCTGCCACAAGGCCTGTCTTTTTTTTTTTTTTTAAATAGGCATGGGCTTAGTTCAAACCGACCAGGTCCCATGCATATGGCCAGCACCCTAACCACTGTAGTACTGGCACCCAGCCTTTTTTTTGAGAGTCTTACTTCCTTGCTCCCAGTAGAGTTCCATGGCATCATAGCTCACAGCAACCTCTAACTCGTGGGC